ACTACAGGTGGCTGTTTCTTGGAAGTGTTGACTTCAAAGTTTTTGCCACGTGCTGAGTTCCTTATTGTCTGATCTGTGATTTAAGTATAGCAGATACAGCATAAGCAATCTTTGACTGACACCAGTGCTAATCTCAAACCAAGTTCCTCATATTTATTTTATAGCACAGCAATGCAAACTTTCATAAAGGTCATGTTTGATGAGGATCATCCTCACAGGCAAAATACTTCACTATAAAAAGAACTGGAAATTGCTGAGATCTTGCAGACTACTTTAGCAAGAAGCAAAAAAAATGAGCAACCATATTTGATCTGGAAGATTGGTAAATAAAAAAAGAAAAAGGACATAAATCATTTTGCAAAAAAAAAGGAGGAGGAGGGCTAGTCCTGTTTGGCAATAGCGTTTGGTTGTACAAATGATTTTTATTCTAATTATATAAACCAATATAACACACAGCAAAATACAAACTACACAAAGTCCTTGGGTTATAACAATAACTGTGATTGGTCCTGCCATCACTAAGTGATGCAGTTATGAAAGACAACATCACACAACCGTACCGCTTAGCAATGCTAATCCCAGCAGTCTCAATTACTCTTGTAACCTCAAGACACATGTGTCATTAAGAGGGCGGATGCAAAATTCCCAGGTAAGGAGTGTAGGGGTACCACGGAGGGTACAGGCCAGTGATGGGATTCAGCCAGTTCACACCACTTTGGCAGAACCGGTAGCTAATTTTTTGTTGCCCAAGCCCAGAATGGACTTCCAGAAGTGGCACCCACACCAGTTGTTCACATATTTGAATCCCACCACTGGTACAGACCGTGTGCAAGTCAGGGAAGGTTGGGAGGGGGGACAGCTGGCAAAGGTCATGCAGGAGTCAGAGGAAGACAGGAAAGGGCCAGCACAGACCATAGGTGGGTGGGATGGGTGCTGCTGGTGGAAAAAAAAACAGGAGTGATTTACCAGAGCAACTTGACACTTTTCTGGAGAGTTTCACCATTGACTTTGCTTGAGGGAAGCAGGTAGAGAAGTTGCAAATGGCGGTCACATGGCTGTGGCTCCTTGTAATGTCATAATCAAAGGCAGGGCACTTAAGCACCCAGATTGTGAAGTTGTGGCTGTGGGGTTGCTACAATGGCCAGAACTTCAAGGAAAGGTCATATAAGCATTTTCTCAGCACTGTTGTAACTTTAAAGGTTGCTGAATGAATAGGTATAAGCCAAGAACTGCCTGTATATCCATGGGGAATGGGCAAGAGGAAGCAAATGAGAAACTATACGTCAGGATACAAAACTCTGGTTTCGATACTTGCATATGGATGCAACATGTAAAGGCTGAATTTGCACCATGCCCATATCAGCATTTGGAACAGTTAGCAATGGATGCCTTTGTTGTAATGAAGAATCAATATGGACAGTAAGGCAGAGTACATAGAAATAGCCCCATCCCACAGGAATGTTCCATTCTCTTCGTGAAAGAGAAAAACTGCATAGATGTAAAAAGAAAACTATGTTTCTGAGGAAAAAAGGGATGAGGCGGAGGAAGAAGCCTGATAATCCACATATCAATTGGAATGCACATGGACTTAAAAATTCTAAGGTACAAGATGCCTTGAACTGAAGATTTCTAGACTGGAGCAGTACCTTAATGTCTTGTCTCATCGGAGCAGTTGAAATCAAATAGGTTTGCTTGTCTGATCTCTGTTACTCTTGCTGTTATTGCCTTAAATGATGGCAGGATATACATGCCCAATGGGATCAAGTGACATAGAGAACAAGTAGGGTCTCTGGACTTCTAGAACTCTGAGCAATAAATCATTTCTCAGAGCAGCCTAAATTTTTAAAGTTTTCATAAAAGCTTTGCCTGAGGGCAAATTGCTGGACTGTCTGTAGGCCAACTCGATGCCAGCCTGACAGAGACATTAAATAAGGGGTGTCTCATAATATTGGAGTTTTTAGATTCTAGTATTACTCTTCTGAACATTATGTTGCTCATAAAATAAAAGCTATATACAGTATTTCAGTTTCATGAAACCTGATGTTCATAATATATCAGGCCATTTTTTAGGAACTTACTCAAGATCTCGTCACATTTGTCTAAAATTTGGTGTTCTAAAAATTTTCCCACAATCTTTTTGTAGGCAATCCATTGTCTCTAGCATAAACCCAATTTCATTTTCACTTTAGGGACTTTAGTCTCTATCCAAACTTCAAGAGCTTTCCAATGAATCACTTTAAATTAGAATAGAGAGGAATAGAGAATATTGTCCTTTTAGGTAGCACTGACATTCTCTAAACTCAAGTGAAACATCACACAAACACCACTTCTCTTGAACTTCACAAGCAACACTTTCTTATCTTCAAAAATAAGCAAGTTCATTAAGAAGAGAAGTAGAGAAGCTTCTACCTATCCAGCTGGGTGACCTTGAAGCAGCTTCTCGAGATGGCACAGAATCTACTTTTGGTTTCCCAAGCATTCCCCCCTTTGTTCCCCTTCTTCATAGTTTATGGCAGACTGGCACCACATATCAATGAAGCACAAGCAAGCTTGAGGTGGCAGCTGACAAGTGGTGAACTCAGCTTTACTGCCATCCATGCTGCCTACAAGCCATTCCCAATGCACTCAGCTTCTACAGCTTAATCATAAAATGGGGATGCTCCACATGCAGATATATCCATAAGCAAATTCAGTCATTTTCATTCAGTGAATCACTAAACTTGCCAATCTCTCGATCCTTTAGCAGACAGGCTTCTAGCTTCTTCTTGAGATCTCAGCTCAGGACTAAAAGCATTCCTGTAAATCAATGCATGTTTTTATTGATTAAAAATTGCCATGAAGAAATGCTGCTGGAATTCAAGAGTAAAAGACTTTTCAGTTTAAGGTGAGAAGATTAGAATGCTCCAGACTCCACTTGTGTTTCAAAAACCACACAAAGTATAAAATATTGATTGAGATTTTGAAGTCAGAGTTACAAGATCCACAGTCTGCATTCATCTTTCAAATCAACATTGTAAAGCTATGGAAGGATGTGTCCAGATAGCCATTCTGTAGGTTGAGTCTCAGATCAATGGATATTCTGTATGAAAGTACACGTCATGTACAAGTCATGATGATTTCTCAAAATTCTGCAATCCATCCTTACCATAGATCAAAATTATGCACATTGCAACTTAATGGGGGAGATATAAGACTCATTAATCAAATGCCATCGGCTTATCATGTTTTGAAGAAATGCAACACATCATTACCATAAAGCATCCTTCAAAGACTCTTTAATTCAAAGATTAAACTTTCTTATGGGTATTGCCTTCTGGCACCATATGGTTGATGCTTGCCCAAGTTATAAGATTTATGAGCGATGTAATTTCTGACCTCTGTCATTTTTTAATAAAAATGTATCATTGGTTCCCAGTTCAGAATTATGGCTACATATATAAATGCAAGCCACTGCTGCGTTTTATTAGAAAACATAATAAATACAAACATTTGTTATTAAGAATGATCAATCAGGGTTTATAAAAGCTAGGCAAGCAGCAGACAATATTAGGTTAGTCGAAGATCTAATAGACTTGAGTAAAAATAAAGATCAATATGCAATTTTATCATTAGATACTGAAAAGGCCTTTGACAAAATGCATGTTTGCTGTACTAAATAGATTTAGATTTCCTTTGAAATTCACAAAATGGATTAAGATACTATGAGTCACCCACAACTAAAAGGTTAATAGCATGTTTTCTTCTGATTTTCCATTATATGGAGGAATTAGACAAGGATGTCCATTTTCATCCTTGCTTTTAATATCTGCCTGGAACCCTTGACTTGTGCTATTAGACTACATTGGGAGATCTATGAAGTGGTACATAACGAAATAAATTGATTTTATTTGCAGATGACATTCTTTTGTTTATTTATTAACCTATGCTACTATGCCAGTGTTGATACTAAAAAAAGATAGATGCCTTTAGTAATATAGCAGGCTACTCTATCAACTCTATTAATCCAAATCAGAATTGATGTCTATAGGTGAAAATTTGGTTAGCTGTCCATTTAAAGAATATCAATTCTCCATTTGTACTGAATCCATTGAAAATATAGCTTGTCTCTACTAAAGGACATAATTCAGGTAGTAACATGCAGGGCTTTTTTTCCTCATAGAATGCCCAGAACGGAGTTCCGGCACCTTTTTTGGATGGAACCTTATAGGGTAGGCAAGGTGGGTTGTATGACGTGTGTGAGTTCCGGCACCTTTTTTTTTTTTTTTTTTTTAGAAAAAAAGCACTGGTAACATGTAATATAAATACAATCTAGAGAGAGATTTCTTCAGATATTAATAGATGGGATCATTAAACCTTACCCAAGGTTTAAATAAACAATAAGTGCTGATTAATTTATATTCTGAAGGGAATTCCAGTTTTTACATATGGAAAATGTTTTCAGAAAACTGTTTAGAAAATTCATTTAAAAAATTTCTACAGGATTTGTTGAGCCTTATATTGTTACAGAAAATACAATTACCAATTAATGAGGGAGGATTCAGTTTTCCAGATCTGGAGCTACATTATCAACCTTACCGGTTTGTCTAGAATTAAATACTGGAAGCCAATAATTGGTGTTAATTTTTCAGTTTAGGCAATTTTGGGATATACTGTACATATATAGCATCCTTGGCTGGATGGATAGTTTTAGGATCTAAATATACAAAAACTTTAGAACTCTGGAAACAATTGCATTAGTTAGAAAACTATGAAACATAATGTCTAATAAAAATATTCAAACTTTTCCCTTGCTAAATTGACTTTATGGGGACCCCAACTTTAAATATTGGTGAAAAGATGATATGGAAAAATTGGATGGAACCAGGGATATTAACTTTGGGTGAATTGATAAAGATGAATATCTAACATGCTCTGGGTTAGGAGACAAATATCATCTACCAGATGTAATCCAATGTCAATATTTAGTTACATTTGTTAACAACATTGTTTGAACCAGCAGCATTTTTAGCTTCTGAGATACCTGAGACACTGGCAGCGGATATAGCATGCTCTCCTTCCGGCCAGCCTCCTTTCGGTCCGCAGCTGCCTCCACGCGAACATGACGCTCGCGAAGGACCTCCTGCACTCCTCGCCCAAGGAGGAGAAGCGGAAGCACAAGAAGAAGCGCCTGGTGCAGAGCCCCAACTCCTACTTTATGGACATCAAGTGCCCGGATTGCTACAAAATCACCACGGTTTTTAGTCACGCCCAGACAATTGTGTTGTGTGTTGGTTGCTCGACTGTGCTGTGCCAGACCACTGGTGGAAAGGCAAGGTTGACAGAAGGGTGCTCTTTCCGGCAAAAACAACATTAAACAGTGGACACTTGGCACAGGATGATGGGTGGGACTATGCGAACAGTGGCCAGTTGCAACCCTGACCTTCTCTGGAGCACCGATGGAAGTATATTATGCAATGAAGTTGGGGGACGTGTAGAGTTATTTTTGAGGGCTTTAGTTGCTTCCACCGATGACTATGGGACAGGGTGAACACCCCCTCCCTTCCTGTGGCACTGTCCTTGTAGCCTTACCCATTTGATTTAATAAACCTGAGACATTGGAACAACTTGTTAACCTACTATTAGTTTCAATAATTATTTTCTATCAATAAATCAATCTAATATGCAGATGCTACAAAATTAGTGGAATGAAAAATCCCACATTGTCTATACCAGACATGTCAAACTCGTGACATCCTGTGACGTCATGCAACATATCGGGACTGTTTTGCCATTGCTGGCAATGGGGTGGGCACGGCTTCCGCGTGACGTGTCCAGCCCGCAGGCCAGCAGTTTGACATCCCTGGTCTAGACAATGGGAGAATGTTTTAATTTCTATAGCAAAGTGTCAATGAACTCAAATCCACTAATGTATACAAAAAAATAATAGTAATTTAGTAGTCTCCATTACATTTGTATAGAAAAGGATTGTCAAAAACATCATTTAGTTAGAGATGTAATAAGGGCGTCTTACATTTACCATGTTTTGGGAGAAAATATAATTGTACAGCAAAAACAAACATTTTCAGATCATAATAGTCTTTTGAACTTATATACCTAGTAATTGAATTTTGACAACTGGACATTGCAAGTGGATTCTTCATGCCCTTATTATAGCCAAAAGACTGCAGCATTAGAAAGAAAAATGTATAGCCCCATTCACTTAATGGATTGAGGATCTGATTGAACTTGCCATCTACGAATGTAGACTTTGAGATGTAGACCTGAGATGGACAAATTGTAGGAGAATAGAATAGAATAGAATAGAATAGAATAGAATAGAATAGAATAGAATAGAATAGAATAGAATAGAATAGAATAGAATAGAATAGAATAGAAGGGACCTTGGAGGTTTTCTAGTCCAGCCCCTGCTCAAACAGGAGAACCTATACCATTTCAGACAGGTGACTGTCCAGTCTCTTCTTAACACCCCACCCCCAGTGATGGAGCACCCACAATTTCTGGAAGCAAGCTGTTCCACTGGTTGATTGTTCTCACTGTCAGGAAGTTTCTCCTTAATTCCAGGTTGCTTCTCTCTTTGAGCAGTTTTCAACTATTGTTTCTTGTCCTTCCCTCTAATGCTCTGGTGAACAACATGACCCCCTCTTCCTTGTGGCAGCCCCTCAGAAACTGGAATACTGCTATCATGTCTCCCCTATTTCTTCTTTTCTTTAGATTAGCCAAGGAGAAAGAGTGAAAAGAGGGATCAGTTTAGAGTTGTTACGTAGCCAGAATCAAATAAGTCCAAACCCCCTGAATATTTCTTTTGCATTTTTTTTCAATGATTCTCTTTCAGGTTGATGAAAAGGAAATTGCTTTTGAAAATATTTTCAAAGTAGAAGAAAAAAGTCCAGTGAAATTCCCTTGGATAATTTGTGGGATTTGGCATGTCCCTTAGAGAGAAGTGTAAGTCTTCTGGGGCTACATCACAAGAAAACAATAGTAGCCACTCACTAAAATAAATTCTAGACATAATCTAAATAATTAAATAATATCAAATCAAAAAATTTGCAAAGAAGGAAGACTTTTGGAAACATGGAGGAATGATGTTGGTATAGTACTACATTGAATACTTTTGGAACACTTTCCTATGATGCTGGGGGACCATAACTAAATGATAGAGCACATACATGCATGAATTTCCAAATTTAATTCCTGGTGAATCTCCAAACATAAAGTAAAGATGTCATAACAGTCTTTGACTTAATAAACATGACCAAACAGAGGACAATACATTTTGGCCTACATAGGTGGCTGAGGTAACTTGGAGGAATTTCACACTGTTCATTCCTTGTCATATTTATTCATTTTTACAAGTGGAATGAACTGTATTTTTTTTTAAAAAAAACCCTTTAACACCATTAAAAATGGAATCTTTGCTTTTCTCCAGGAGCATGTAGATGTGAATCAGGCATTATGCAGTTAAATATTCACATCACCCTATGTTAATTCTGGCACATGGACTGCAGTGGAGTTAATTTCAAACAAAGCAATGTAAAACTATGTTTCACAAACATTATCTAATCAAGTTTGTATAAATGAATGCATGTGACACGCCCTCTGCCCTATACAGGAAGCTGAATCTATAATTAAATCCTTAGAGAATGAATAACAGTTCTATTCAATAAATTAAATCTTACAATTTATTTTTTTAAAGAAATGTTGAGATTTAAATATTTAAGATAATTGGTCTTCATGGAAAATTGCAGTATATTTAAAAAACATTTCTCTTAAGCTGGAGAAAAATGGGCTTTTACTCATTATTACTAATTCAGAGAAATTATTTCTAATACATAGACATGTCTAATGTCTATAGCAGCAGGAGTAGATTTTTAATCCAAAATCAAGTGTAAGCAGATTATCAAAATATTGGCCCATTGGTTGGTTACTTGGCCTTGAAATTATATCCTGGGTAAGATTAGAAACAAGCCTTAGGCTCACAACTTCTGAGAAAATGGATTTCAAATAACGATATCTTCATGAACACGCTAAACAGTCCAGGAACGCTTTAAATATTAATGGATTTATTGAGACATACACTCTTGTAGATCACATTTCAATTCATTAGATGAATGGAATATTACTCAGAGAAGACTAATTTAGTTGTGGGAAGGAAAACACTAAACTCCAAATGAAATTAAATTCAGGCATTATATGCTTCTTGGCTGACACAAGAAAGAATTGTGTGTGTTGCATACATATTATCTCTTAAATTTCTGAATTAATTAAAAAACTGTAATGGGATAAGATACCTTTCAGTTCTTTTAATTCATGTTCAGGGTAAAAATTTGAATTACAGCGTAACTGTTAAGACACAGCTAAAGGATTAAAATCATGCCCTTTCCAACTTTTTCTTAAAGAGGCAAAAGTAGAGAGAGAAAAAAGGAGAATTCTATGTTAAGGCTCTGTTTAACACAGGGTCTTCAAACTTGGCCCTTTTATGACTTGTGGACTTCAACTTCCAGAATTCCTCAGCCAGCGTGCCTGGCTGAGGAATTCTGGGAGTTGAAATCCACAAATCATAAAAGGCTCAAGTTTGAAGATCCCTGGTTTAACACTAACAGCTAAAACCACTCAGATTCACAATACTTGATCTACGGCTTTTTTTATCTCTTCTACTAGGCTTCAATTTGTGGTAGATCTCTACTTTCCTACAGACAAGATCAAGCCCAAAACAGTTTCTCAAGTACTATGACAGGGCTCTCCAGATATTGGAATCAAATCTGTATTAGAGCTAAATGCCTAATGTGTTTCTATACTCACTCTGGCATTCTTACGACAAGGCTAAGCATCACTCACATAATGAGGGGTTTTGAATCTGCACATCTTGGAATGTATATATACCAATATCTGCCCTCTTTGCTTTATGTAGCAATTATAAAACAAAGTGGTCCATCTCTCTGCGAAAAAAGGGGTAAACTGGCAGACATCTCTTGTCAGAAATAACAATACTATAAACCCTACAGGAAAATCCTCCCCCTGTAAAGTTTTGCCACTAACTTTAAATGTCTGCCTATTTGTAAAAAATAATTCTTTTCATGAGATTAACATCAGTCTCCTGCTAATTTTGCACTGCACATAGGCACACCCATGTGCTACTTCAGTGAGATTGAAGATACAATCCCAAATATCTTTACTAACAGATAGCAAGCAGAATTATGGTGCTCATCTTCAAAACTATGTCACATGCTGGGCATGTGTTCTGTATATTCTAGAGCGAAGTTGGAAAATCAATGGTCTTCCCAGATGTTTCTCAGAGTTCACAAACTAAGTATGGCTACACAGGTTTTACCTACTGCAGAACAGAGGAATCAAGCCATATAGAGAGAGATTGGGAAAAGAACAGCCCAAAGTCTATTGACATGTCAGCCCCATGATTTACATTTCCTCTCATCCTTTCAACCCAATAGATTTTGGGCTGTTCTTTTCCAAGCCTCGAGAGTTAATGTCTCTGTTTACATAATTTGTCTTGGCTAAGAATTTAGTGATTCCCACCTCTGCAGTTTCAGCACTTGGTAGTTGTAATACCACAGGGTTACAGCTCCTAATCATTGACCATTATGATTAGATTGATAGTTACTAATAACATCTGGAGAACTTCAGGACCGCTACTGCCTTCTAAAATTTGGTTTCATTAGGAATACATACAACACATTAATTTTCTACAGTAAGTGTGGTTAATTTCATCGTTTAGAAGAAATGTTATTACTTTTGCTTGTTCATTAAAGTTATTTAATAAAATAATATTGATTTTACCGAGGTTGATATATTTTCAATAAATTAGTAGTTTAAAATCTTCAAATGAAATAATAACACTAGTCTTGATGTAATTTGTTAAATATTTACAAGTTGTTAGAATGATTATACATGGACATTTATATATTGGAATTCTGAAATGTTAATACTAGAGAGTAAATGGTGGGCCACATATGATTTTCATATGTGAATCCAATGCTTTTTTTCGTAAAAAAAAAAAAGGTGCCGGAACTCACACACATCATAGAACCCACCTTGCCTACCCTACAAGATTCCATCCAAAAAAGGTGCCGGAACTCCGTTCTGGGCGTTCTATGAGGAAAAAAGCCCTGTGTGAATCAACCACTAGTTCCACAGTTCTTCAGCAGTTGGAGTTCAGTAATATCTGCAGGGATGCCGTTTTCCCAAAGATATAATAAACAACCAAATAGTCACCTGAATTTCATCCTCAAGATTATGCTGGGTAAAAGATAGAAAACATCTTAGGGAAAAGTAGCTACACTATCATACAGCTATAAAGTATTACATACCTAACACTTTTTTTTGGAGTATTTTGCTAAAAGAATAATGCAGCAAAGTCTCTAGATACTTGTTAAAAAAGTAACTCAGATATATAAGGTTGATTATTGTTCAGGTGTTTTGTTCTGTAAGCCATAAACATATTTTGAATGAAAGTTCTGCAGAATTATAC